GATTAGGATTCTTCCATCGAGTACTTGTTTTATTATTTATGAATTCAAAATTATTTCAAATTGTGTAAACAACGAAACATAGCATTTTAATGGTGAGACTTTCGATCACATTGGATGGCCGACTCGAGTCCAAATGACAAAATGTATACGAATTTTGGAATAATACGAATAAAATCCGAATACGTTTTAGTCCTAATACGACTATGAAAGTGATTTTATTTGACATTCCCGGGATTGCAAAATACTAAACCGCGGCTTACGGTTAGGACTATGACTGATAGCAGCTATCCAGCTGCTTGTGCATATATTTTATCTTATTGTATGTTTGGTCAACCACTTATTTAGTGGGCTACAAATAATATTAAAAATTTAATAATAGCACAGACGCAGCTTTATCCTACCTTATACTTAATAAGTTTTTAGGACTCCCCCGACAAGCACCCACCAGGTCATGTTAACGTACATTTATTTAGTTTACTTGGTTGTGCTGTACTGAATTAGCTATTAATATCGTATAATAACTAGGCAAATATCCAGGGCTGTGAGACAATTAGTCAGTCATGTACATACATACATGGTAATGAATTGTCTACTTCAGGTCATATATGGTTTTCCCATCGTTTTACTAGACAAATATCGGATTTATTTACTCATGAGTGGTTGTCATTTATTGGCGGTCCAGTCAGTAACGATTCGTTGCCCTTCGAGTTAAAAATGTTACCAGTGATGACATTAACGTTTCTAGAGAAACGCATTTAAGTGATTTCCGTTATTTATAATTTAAGTAATTTGTTCAACCACAACTTTGTCTGAGGCCAGATATCGAGACAGTGTGTGTTATCACCAATATTGTGTTGTTTCAACGACATATGAACGAAACAAGGATTTTGTTAAAGGTCAGTTGGGGTAATTTATTTCCTCACATTTCTGCCTTCCTAGTTACAGGACGATTGCATAGCCTTCTCAATGCTATAATCTTCTTACACCACAAGAAGACTGAAAGCCATTTCTTTCGCCACATCGATTTAAAAGGTACACACTTTTTTTTTTTTTTCGGGCAGCAACTTGAATAACGGTCGATATACCCGGTTATTCAGAAAAACCTTCGTATAGCTTAATGTACGACGAACGATGTTTTTTCCAGGACCTAGCGAACGAGTCCTTTGAAACTGAAACGATCGTTATGTCCCAGCCAAGACTTAAGAAGTAATGTGCTCTATTTTAAAGATCCCTTTCTAAAAGTATATAGCTTTTTTCTTTTTTTTTTTTTTTTAATTTAAGTCCAATTTCAGTACAATTTCGTGCTCGTCGAAACAACGCAATGGCTTTCTTCGTTGAAGTTTCGTTGAGGTTGACTTAAGTCACTGATGTTGATGTTTTGTCTATTTGCGATTTGACCGAGCTAGAACAAATTTAAAATTCACATTTCACGCCGGAATCGATTAAAATTCCGTTAGAAGCTTGCGGTCATCCTCATCATCATTTAAATTTATTTGCCACGATAAAGAAGTGTATGACCTCCAAAAACCTCAAGCGCTTCTAACTTAGTATGATGAAATTCGCATCTTCCCTATCTAAGTCTTTATGAGAATGCCCTTTACTAGTTTCAAATATCTTTTTTGTTCCAGAGATACTCAAGTTTATAAAATATGTAAATTTACCAAGTGGAGACGTCATAAACCCAACGAAATTTTTGATCAAATTTGATGAAGAAAGATATCTCAGCCAATTTGTATCAGGAATGTTTAAATCTTTGCAGTAAGATTCTACTAGAGGTATTCCACAATATGAACCTGACAGTTTTGTTACCATGGCAACATACTGGGTTCCAAACCTCTACAATATTAAACGATTTTCCACCTTTGGCATTCCATTTGCCAATGGCGCCTCATCTGCATGATACAGCAGGCATGTCAACGTAAGCTAAAAATATATAACTTTTTCACAGAGCGTTAGGGCAGCCATTTTATTATTTTTATTATTTTTTTTTTTGTCAGTGTAAAAAGCAGACTCGATTTCCAGCCGCCGTTCGGGACTCAATCTGGAGAGCGGCGGATCTCGTGCCTATGTAAAACACAGCCTGCGGATTGGAGACTGCATGACCGGCGGTAAAATGCAGACTGAGGGCAAACTACCATTTCCATCATTGATAGCTAACCGTAAACAGGTTAACCGGAGCGTCATTCAGGCTAACCTGAGTGATATTCAGGCTAACCGGAGTGCAGATTTTCACTACGATTACCCTGAATACATGTAGCCCTGTTTATGGTTGGCACTCGATAATGGAAGTGTAACACGATATATATATACTTAAAAAGTCTATAGTCTGCAGACTGCATTTTACCCCCGGTCTACAGTCTGTAGTCCGCAGTCTGCGTTTTACGCTGACCGATCTGGCAGTGCCAAACGCTCGCGTTGCGTTACATTGTGACGGTTGTGACAGGAAATGAATTCGGTTACAAATACGAGATCCAATGTGACTTACCTCAGTTACCTTGGCATAGTTAATCTATTAGTGGTGTTAATTTCCCCTCTAGATGGGTTTAGATAGCCTGTGTACGTTACAGCCGCCCTCCTCAAGAGTGCTGCTGTAAACACAGGCTAGATTCAAAGCGATTTCAGCTTATTTCAAGCCATAAAACTCTTCAGTCGTATTCAGAAGCGTCAAGCCAAACCTTAACGACCTCCCAGCCCAATGGCTGCTCTTTCTGTGAAATGATTCCGCTGCCAAGTAACTTCTGCATTGTGTGGTATACAGGACTAAACTTTGCTTCTTGACATGCCATTGAATTTCTTAATTCGATGGGGTCTTACGTCTTTTCCCTCTTTTGGCAAATATTAGAGCCGGTATCAGAGTCACACAAGATGTTTCTGCTCGTATGCCAGCTTAGCAACCTAGCCTTCGCGCGAAACCAACCAAATTAGCGGGTATCTCTTACTGTAAACTAAGTTACGCTCATCATGCCTAAACGTACCTCGACCTCCGGGGTATTTGAACAACTTCGCTCTCTCAACGGCAAAATTCGTTTCTTTTGGCCCGTTTATCGAATTCCCACTTTCTTGAACATTTCTTGTTTTCGTAGACGTTTGATTTCTTGAGTGAGAAAAAATTATTGCACGTTGGTGACATAAATAAGTGGATTGAAGACCCCGCGACATACATGAAAGTAAATTGTATGATACTCAACGATCAATTGTCATGGAACTTTTTTGAAAAGGTTATACCCCTAGGCCCTATTGATATTTCAGACTCTCGTTATCGGCAACATTTTTTTTATTTCAATTCCTGGGAGAGTTGGAGATAGAGGAACTCTAATCAGGTTAGATAACGCCAATTTCTGGTACCCATCTGTGTACAGCCAAAATCTACTCCTCGTTTATCTACTGGGTCAACTTGTACTTGAGCAAAAGTGGCTTTTCTCACGGCATCTATATTCATTGTTCCTTTTTCCTTTAAATTAGGCAACAGGTTTTGTTAATTTACTGAAAATGTTTGCTTTATAAAGAATAAAATGAAGTCTTCTTTTAATTAACTGACCCTTCTTCCAGTGTCGAAAATAACATTTGAAATAACCGCCTCAGGCGCTCATTCGAGAACATACGAGAACCGTTGTTAGTCATTTATTGTATTAACTAATTCTTTCATTAAGTCGCATGATAAGTAACTTTTACAGTAAAAATTTGATATGATTATGCAAAAATGTTTTATTAATTTGTTTTGGAGTTAAAAATCTCAGCCGGAACCAATTGATTTAACGCAGGAGACAAGCGAACTTTTCTAATTTCAATAACTAAAACAAGGCGATAATTCCAAATGTTTTGAACATGTAATTAAAAAGGAGACAGAAAAGGGTCAACATGATAATGTAATCGTTAGCATTACGCACGGAATTTCAACCCAAAAAGGTTTCGAGTAATTTCTGACCATATGTGTAAAACAAAACAATAGGGGAGATGACCCAAAGATAACGCTGTCGAAAACAACTTACATGCAAAGCCATAAGCGCAACGCGAGTTATCACTGCAAGTGAAGAGCTCCAGTCAACGCAAATACCAGACTGAAAGTTTAAGTTTAATCCCACTAGGTACGTAATTTAGTGTCTTTGAAGCTACAATGTTTACTTAAGCTTTAAACTACACAACAAGTCAAATTAAGAAACCAGTCCATTGACAGCTGTTCTTGTATCGGCATCGTCACCAAAAACACCTCCATAATTTCATTTTTGGTGCGACAACGAAAAGTCAGATTTCAGATAGCCAAACCTGACTTTTGTTGAACTGGCTTTAAAGTGTTCGGTCACAATGGAACAAGTGTGTGATGTATTGTGTTTACAATAGTCCAAAGAAAGGTACATTATTAATTAGGTCTTAGCTTTGTGGCGAGTCCAAAGGGATTAAAATACTTAAGATACAGTAGGGAGCGTCTGTTTTTGTATCCGCCTCCTTACAGCTTAGATTTTCGTGTTTTCCTTAAACAGAGAAATAAGGTCAGTGGTTTTGGTTTGTTTTTATCATTAATTTTAGATTTAGGGGTATGAAAACAAACCGGAAAGTCCAACAAGCTTGTCAAAGAATTGCTTTACAGTGAAGATAACGTCGAAACGACTTTGGGGCCATGTTGCATAAAATGTTCGTTCCACAGTCAAAACTTCGTGACTTATCAAAGTTAAATCTTACTTTAATTTTCTCTCATTTCCGACATAAGAGGTTAAAGCATAAACAAGCACAGCTTCGGCTGTATTATCCGGCTCAATGGGAGGTATGTTTTCTTCGCCAATATAACAACTGTTTATCAAAATATTTAATAAAGTGCGCAGTTTGGTGTTTACCGAAAGCTTTGTGTTAATAAGAGGCGAGCCCACCGTCTTAGGCGAAAACCATCCATCTTGCAGGTAGCATAATAATGCTTGAGTTCTGTTACATGGACTGTTGTTGCAGTCAACACTGAGTTTATTTCGATTCCAGGTGTTAATGGTCTTTTTGTTTCTTGTGAATTGCAGGACTGTGCTTGGACGCGGCGTAACTGTTTTATTCACAGGAAGAGAGGGAACATTGGTCCTAGCTGCAAGGTACACTGTTTCGCAATGCTTGTACTGGACTAGGTTTGTTTTACACTACACAGCTTAAACTTGCGCGTACTTAAGTTCCAAATCTTTTGTGCCTGAATAGTTTATTTCAATCGTTCAGTTTCAAGTGGTAAAGTCACAATTTCACGTGGTTTACTGATGGCCACAAGTTGCCACTGAAATTAGTACAAATAAGGAATTTCTTATGGAGGTGCACAAATTCGCATACGTCGGTTTCATTTTACTTCTATTTGTTTTCAAGTGCGTTTCAAACGTTACGTTTCAAAATAGACATCAAAACCGCTAACCAGCCATAAGTTAATACAGAACTAAACAGCTCCGCGGTGTACGAAACAATTAAAAAAATAGCTCTCCTTTTGTTTTTTGAAGCAGTTCAATTTAGGTCTCAATCTGTAAGCAAACACAAACTGGCCAAAGAACCGACAAAAAGTTCGAAGCAATTTTTGGCATTAGAATATGAACAATTATTTCTGTAGCTCTTCCGTGCATTATTTAGTTACACAACTTAACGGATATTTGAATAACAAAACTATCCGGTTTATTGCAATCTTTGCGCATTTGAATGACAATACAATCGACAGCAAATCGTGTTAAGGATTTGGAGTGATTAGGGACAAAAACAAACCTTCAGCACATTCAAAGTACTAAGTACATTCCATTGTTGAAGGGAAAATAGAGCAACATTTAATTTCAAGCTAGAAAAAGCATTTGCAGAATGTCCACATATTAACACTTTCATAGTAATTGGAGAAAGAACTCTATCGTAACGGTACATAACTATTTTTGTAGGTGCCTTAACAACCCTTCACGTTGGAAATAGGCTTAAAGACCGAAAAGTTATATGCTTAGGTTCTAATCTCACTAGAATTGACTTATAACTAAACCAACATTCAATTTTGGTAACTTAAAAGATTTCCGTGGCATTCAGCGTCACAGTAGACCACAGAGTGGAAAGAGTTAAATGTGTTTAATATATTTGTCTTTTTATTTCAAATGTTATGCTTCATTTAAGCTTTTCTTTCTGCATAGCATAATTAACTTCACTTTCACAAAGCTATTTTAGACTTTTGCTAACTAAGCTTAACTACCATGGAAATTTCTAGTAAAACGTATAAAAGTGTTTTTGATCGCCCCTGTACAGTCATTTAAGGTAGCTGGGTAACATGTGCAGCGCGTTATTTAAAGCCAGTCAAGCGTGATCGTGCTTGTTAAAAAGAGACATCTAATTTTTTTTTTCACTGACCCTGTATTAAGCATGTATATACAGCCACGTTGATGCAGTCTACTAAATAAAAGCTAAACACTCGTTCTTTTCATGTGACCTTAATTTGAACACGATCCTAAACAACGACACGCATCTCAAAAACATTTGCAGACATCCACGTACAGGGGGCGGTTTCTTGCTAATCACAATGATCAGTCTGGTAACTAGCCGTGAGAAACCCATCACGGTGGCTGGATGGGAAGGGAGATTTACGAGTGACAGCTGTCGGTTAAAACAATCGAGTTTTTTTCGAAGTTAGTTAACATTTTAGCCATGCGTTCGTCAGTTGTCAGTGATGGTTACCACGTTTGAAAGTTGTCCGTAGTTTAAAACATCATAGCCCATTTTTTCATCTAGACCCTCAGTAATTGGGCATCCTTTGGACAAAGCTGTTTTTATCTCTCGCGCATTTTTCCCACGGCAAAAGGTTGAGGTGGGCGTTCATTGACCAACAGAGTGCTTTCAAGAGATTAACGTATTATTACTTGTCAAGGCCTTAGAACCGTCCATGCTGTCAAATGGGTACAATAATATAATAGGTTTGTAAAAGGTTTGATTTACATAAAAGAAAGAAATCCTGCTTCACATGAACAGCTCATAGCATTTTAAATCCTATTTGCTATGATCTATATCAGGACAAGCAAAATTCTAGTTTAAGGTGGTTAATTCCATTTAAGGACAAGACAGACTGGACTTAAAACCTAAATAGAAATGATAATTACAACCCACCCTCTCCCCTCCCCCATCACAAAACAATTATATAAACCCTTTTCGTGTAGTGAATCTCATTACACCACCAGGGGATATTATTTTTAATGAGGACAGACCTTAAGAATGATGTAAGACCTTTGATTCAGTTTGTCATAAGACTGGAGAAATACAGACTTTTCAACCCCACTCCTAACCAGCCCTCAGTAATCTTTATGAATGAGTGTTTTGTTTGGATATAAATTAAATTATACTCGGTCTCTCCTTTTTATAAATTTCATTTGTTTTTAATTTCCAGACTATTCCTGAAGATTTGAAACTATGCTCCACCCTTTGTTTCTCGTCTTCACTCTCTGCCAGTTCGCTTCTGAATCCCATGCCATATTTCTCCCTTATTGGTCGAAAAGAAACCACTCGGAGTCTTCATTCCACATTCCATACACTTCTCTGGCCCTGGACGGCCCAAACATGTTTGGCACAAAGCTTCAATACTACCGGGACTTGTCGAAAAACTACTCCATGGATTACCGCTGTGCAAATGGACTGCCGATCTCCATCGCTTGGCACCAGTACTCCCCATACACTACGGTTATTCAAACGAAGTACAAAGGAATTTCAGGATTAACTGTGGACGGAATGTTTCCAGGAATTCTAAATGCTGTTGTATCGGACTGCTGCCATAAGGATACCCAAGTGTCCTTTGGAAAGTTACTGAAATCAGTACGGAACGCTGAGAAACATATTCAGGAAGACACCTTTGATATGACGTTTCCTCTCTATGGCTATGATGCCTCTTCCGATTCGTTCAGGTACGGTAACATCAACAGGTTGCATACGATGAACTCTTCTTGTTTTCCAAAAACTAAAAAAAAATTGCCTGAAATTTTGGTCTCAATCTGATCTCTTTAATGCCGTGCAGTGCAACAGAACATGAAGTCGTGAGTCACTGTGAGTTTAGGGAATATCTCAAAAAGGTCTTACTCTCAAGAATTATTTGAATTTGATTGAATGAAAGCACAGGAATCAATCAGATACAGAGATTAAGGGTTGAGTAACATCGTAACTATCGGGTTTTCCGTGTTACCAGGTTTTTTAATGTTTTTTTTTTTCTTATTTTGTTTTGTTCAGTTTCCTTTTCTTTTTTTTTGTTTTGTTTTCTTTTTGTTTTCAATTTTTTGTTTCAGTTAAGTCCAACAGCCCCCTTTCGATAAAGGTCCGTTAATTCTGTGACGAGGCACAGATAGCTAGGTTTAAGTTGATTGGAGTTTCAATTGTTCCTTTTGTTTAATACGATTTTTAGTAGCATTTCCTTAGTTCTATGTTTTACATTTTTCTCTACAAGGGACCGTGCGTTTATCAGTGTGGTGAGGGCTCCCCGCGTCATCCTCCTAGTACACAATGAACAACAAACGAAGACTCAGACTCACGTGTTGATTACGACCATCGCCAACGCCTGGCCGATGTTGCTTTTTATTCTTGTAACAGCCTCACTCTCTGGTATTATTATTTGGTTTCTGGTAAGTTTTTAATGCTTTTTAATCCAATAATCCATTAGTAACTACAAATAATGCCTTTCCCCTTAGCGTACCCAAATTCGCAATTAGCCAATCAGAAGTCGTGTCTACTGTCTTGATATCCTGCGATATCGAGTCCCTGACCTGATATGGCTATGGTATTATGGTCACATGACCTTTTTTTGCTTCGCTTCTTATAATTAATCAGACCTACACTTCGGCGGCATATCAGGCGAATTTGGTCTAGCAACGGTTCGTATTTTGGCAAGACGTAGTCGAGCGAAAATAACATTTACGAGACCAAACAAGCCTGATATTCCGCTGAAAAGTACCAAGTAGGTACGATTAGGTATAATTAGTTGACCATCAACTAGAGCAGGGATCTCGGATAATTTCTTTTACGAGGTGCTTGACAGTTCAAACTTGACGTTCCAAATAGGAATTTTGTCGGTGTCCACCTCATTCTAACACTAACAATCCTTCAACGGTCGAACTGCCATCGACCGGCTCACAAGAAAGTAGATGTACGTATAACTAACGTTAGTATAACTAACGGTGGGTTTATTTGTTTACTAATCAAACTATTTTTTGTCGGTAGGACCACGCTAGTAACCCTGGAGAATTTCCACCACCGTTTCTACGAGGATCCTGGGAAGGCTTCTGGTGGGCTCTTGTTACCATGACGACAGTTGGGTGGGTATTTGACGTTTTTATTTCTTACTCTGAGGACATGAACATGATTGACTTCATGATCATTTAATTACTGATTAGACTGATTCATTGACTGATTGGATGACGGACTGACGTTCTAATGGACTGACGGCCTGACGGACTGACAGACTGACTAATTGATTGAATTATTTATTGACTAACTGATTGACTGACTGACTGACTGACTAACTCACTGACTGAATGACTGACTGACTGAATGACTGAATGATGGATTGACGGATTGACTGACTGACTGACGGAATGACTGATTGATTGATTGAATGACTGACTGACAGACAGACAGACAGACAGACGGACAGACGGACAGACGGACAGACGGACAGACGGACAGACGGACTGACTGACTGACTGATTTTTGATCGATTGATTTTTTGATCTATTGATTGATTGTTTATTCAATTCCTTAACTCACAGGTATGGTGATCGCTCGCCCAAGTCAGCCCTGGGCCGCGTGTTTTGCATTCTGTGGATTATAACTGGTGTTATCATCATTTCGATATTCACAGCTCTCGTCACAGCCTCGTTATCTGCTAGTACTTTGCAGGTTTTCAAAATCCACGGTTCAAAGGTAAAGTTTGTATTACAATTCAACCACTTACCAGAGAGGAAAGATCCCCTGTATACTCCACATCACCATCATTTTCCTCGTCCTCGTCCTCCTTCTCTTCCTCTTCCTCCTCGCCCCCACCACCACCAAATAAATTGAGCCTCCTTGTTCCCTCACGTTCTTTAATTTGAGCCGGTTCACGATATCTCAGAACGTTTAAGCCACAACTCACTGCCTCAGTCTTTGATGACTATACGTATGTGTTATTAACCTAGAGGTATCTCTAAATTCTAATTCTGCAAGACAAATCTCTATCTGTATCCACATGTGGCGCAAATTAAAGAGGTTATAAAAGTCCTTTGGATGTCAGAATACAACATTTCTAATTATTCGCTTTTATTGTTTGGATTTGCTAATAAAATTGTTATTAATGTTTATTTGTTTATTATTATTGTTATTTACTTCAGAAGTTCTCGTTCCTGTCTTGCAGATCGGAGCTGTGAATGGAAGTGAAGAATTCAAACTTGGTGTTACCATGAATGCTGACATGCGAGGTACATACCTGCAGTAGGACTGACCGCCATCAGGTTACTCCTTTAATTATAAGACTGAGAAAGTTACTTTATTGTGATTGGCTGAGAGCAGGCCAATTAATCGTTAATTTTTACTTTTCACTGCAGTGCAAATTAACGCTCTTCTCGGTCATATAATTAATGAGTAATCATGTGAAAGCTCGAGAAATTGACGATTTACAACAACCATGATATTGCTTTAACAATTTATTCAAATGGATGAAAGCTCGTGCAAGTTTGAGAACGGATTTTTCAAATATCACTTATAGTGTAAATCTTCAATTGCACTCGCCTTACCAAGCCAAGCAAAAAGTCAAGATAGTAAAGTCAAGATAACTAACACAGTGATGTGTCGTGCAACCAAAATTAATGATCAGTTTTACTCTCGTTGCAGTCTTCCCTCACGTACTTAAAATGACGAAAGCTCTCCTAGCACACGAGATTGACGGAGCATTGGTTGACAACTACGTCATCACACACTCTTTAAACCTGATTCAAGAAGAACCAATCAGAATTGAGAGATATATCGATCATAAAATCACCTACGGAGTAGTGTTGGCTAAGAACTCCTCAAAGTTTGAGACATGTCTTCGACACTTCTTGCATAACAACCCTCAAGAAATATTTGAAATAATCGCTGCTAATTTGGTGCCGCTGAAGGTAAGAAATTTATGACGTAATGACTAAGGTGGATAAGAGGAAGAAGTCCTGGGCGTCCAAGTTTCCCCTCAAATATCTTTATTAAGAGTCATTCACCAAAACTCATTGATTGATTGATTGATTGATTGATTGATTGATTGATTGATACTTCTCCAGGCTTAACATGAATCTGTTTGTAACGTTTTAGAATCCGACAGATGACGAGAACCAGCAACTGAAAGCAGCGGAAGGATTATTTTATCAAGAAGATGTGTTTGAACTCGTCATGTACGTGGGTCTTGGTGTCGCCTTCGCTTTCTTTGTGGCCGGTATCACTTGGGAATTCTTGTACCGGAGACCTAAAATAAGTGAGTGTTTCTGTACCATTTTAATTTGCATCATCATTCTTTGCCTGCCAAATTTAATTTTCTTTTTTGTTACCCATTTGTATTTTTTTCCTCTCTTAATTACAGGAAACCAGCGAATGCAGTTTGCCCCTAAAGGTACCACCTACTCAGTCAGCGACGAAGAAGTGAAACTCCACCCTTGTGACAATTCTAACCACTCCACCCTAGATAACATGATTGCTGAATATCAAATGTTCCACGACCGCTGGATCGAAGGACTGAAGAAATTCCGTGACAAGGAAATGGCCGCTGACCCGGCTGCTAATGGCAACACAGAAATGGTCGCTGTGTGAGGACGTCCGCCATTTGTTTTTTTCTGTACTAGAGTTTGCACCGTCAAAAAGAAGAATTTTGTCTGCTTTTAATTCTAGATAATTGAGAGCCTTTTCATTCTTGATATCATTCAACCGCTTTTTTGTCGTTACAATATTAATGGCCTTTTCAAGCATTTGAATAGCGAGAAATGTGAAGTCATCAACGTACTTGCCTTTAATATTGAATTCTCGAACCAGCACTCGACGAAACATACGGCATTCGGTAAGAACAATTGATTTTGCAATTCAATGAGTTAAAATCCCCTTCAAGTTAATTGGTTTAACAATGCACCTTGGTTTGGGATTTGAAATTGCAGAAAGGTACATTTATTGTCTTGTCTATTTGCTTATTGTTTTAAACTTCGCAATTCTTTGTTTTGTTGATGCTGCAGCTGTTTTTTACGTTGTTCAAAGTAATAGTTAGGTAAAGAGCTTCGGATATCAAAGCTTTTCCAACGGAGAAAGTTTGGTGGGCTGCTTTGTAAGAAAGCACATCAGAAAACTGTAAGATAACACCAGTAGGTTACTCTGGATGCCTTATGAGATCACGTGATGTGAGAAGTTCAGTGACTTGATGATTACTAAGGAGGACAACAAGCCAACTCAGGAGCAGCACGAGCTGCATTCTGGGCGCTGACGTGAGCGTGCTTCTTGTTCAGTGACATATCAAAACTCTGGCATCGACAGATGCAAGAATTTGCACTCATACCACTGAAATTATTGTTTTTAAAGAACTTAGAGGTGGTAACCTATTATTTACCGTTATTAGCTTTATATTTTAAAACGTTTTACTTGCTTGTCGAAACTAATGCTTTAAGCCTTGCATAGGTTATACAGCTGATGAGGGTGAGTACCATTTCACGGCCATTTCCGGTCTCCGATACCGGACCGAGCCTTGCCTAGCTCCTAGGCCTCGATATTTCGCCGCGGTCACAATTGACCGTGAAGGCCTTGGGCAAAGCCGTACTGGAACTAGGCAAGACCGAGCCTACAGTTTTCGTGTATTGTCGAGGTTGCCAAGCAACTGTTCGCGCCACGAAAACTTGACCAATTTCGGAACGCTTTCGAGTGCTGACGATTCAGTTTTATGTTAATAATGATAAACCTTTGTATATGCGCGGTGTGAATTTAAAGCTACAAGCTTCTGGGCCGGTATGTGTAATTTATGATTGGATAATCATAAAAATTGGAAACTTGAAAAATGTTTCAACGAACACTTACTGCACCAGAACTGAACCACCGAGCAGTGGCTTCCCCGCGAGTCGCGTGTACACAGCACATAAGACATGTTTCAAAACCCATCCGTTAATGAGTTGTAAAAAACTTGTTTGTTTATAAAGGGATTTTTTTCTAGTTCAGTTGTAAATGAATATGCACCACCTTATTTTGCGACACAGTATAGAAATAATTGAAAATGGAATTGAATTCCTAGTGTATCTTGGTTATTGAATATTAAAAATCACAATTGTTAATTTTTCTGTATAAATTAGTGGTTTAGCCTTGATAAATGTTCTCCCACGTTTGATAATTCAGGTGTCACCGGTGTGGCAGATTTATTTTGTTTATAAAGGTTGATTTCCACTTAGTATTATTGCTATGGAAAAAGTTAAGCAATCGTTACGATCACTCGGAAGCAACTCCAGCGGTCGTGGTCATGGTTGCAACCCGCTGGAGTACTCGCTTATATGGGCTATATAGGTATGTGCGGCCCCAAAGGGTATGGCTTTTAGCCGTTTTGGTCAGAGATAGGGTATCGATTTTGGCCACTTTGGTCTCAAAAAGGGTATGGTTTTTGCACTGTACACGTGACTTGTGTTTGTTTCTCAGACTGAGAAGCTACTTTTTCATCGTTACCGATACGACAATCAGCAAAAGCCCTTCACAATCAGTCTGAATTAGAGAACTAATTATAAGGTAGGTCTCACGGTCAGGTGCTGAATAGGGTATCGAATTTTTGGTCAGGTCATTAATAGGGTAGGGAAAATCAGAGAAATTTAGTCTTAAATAGGGCAAGGATTTTGGGAAGCGGGCCGCACACCGCCACCCAATTTTTCCGGGAGTACCCCTTCCCTCCTGGAATCGCTGAGCTAGACGATCAAATTAATCTAACGATCGGAATGACCATTGTGATCAAAAGGAAACCACTCT